CCACACGCATCATCAAACCTAGACCACTTCAACCATAGCAGAATGATAGCACTAAACGCCTCAAACGTCGCAGTTGCGCACTGGAGAGACGGTGGTGCAAAACCAGGTCCCCTCATGCATTCTCCCTCTACAAGTCTGCCTTCCTCACACCTCCTCCCTCCACGCCGCCAAGCAGGCCTACTTAGTTAACCTGATCAACACCCTCTCCTCCTGCCCTCGCCGACTTTTCTCCACCTTCAACTCCCTGCTCTCTCCCCCCCCTCCTCCACTCAGTACCTCTCACCGCCCACGAGATTGCCACCCATTTCCACAACAAGATTGACGCTATCCGTAAGGACATTGTCAACTTGCAATCTACCTCCCCACCCCATCACCCCTTCATCTCCCCCCTCCTCTACCCTCACAACCGCACTGCCCCCCACCTCTCCCAAGGCCCCGCACACCATAACCCCCCCTGCACTGCACTCCCTCAGCCCTGTCACTACTGAGGAAGTCGCCAAAGTCCTCTCAGAAGCCCGCCTCACTACCTGCCCCCTATCCCCTCTCAACTCCCCGGTCACCCCCCGCCTCCCTCACCCACATCTTCAATCTCTCCCTCTCTACATTCCCCTCCCCCCTAAAGCACGCGCATATCACCCCCATCCTCAAAAAGCCCTCCCTGGATCCTGCAGACCCCTACAACCTCAGACCCATCTCCCTGCTGCCATTCACCTCCAAGCTCGTTGAGCGCATAGTCTACGATCGCCTAAGCTCCCACCTTACTGATAATAACCTCCTTGACCCACTACAGTCTGGCTTCCGTCCCCTACACTCCACTGAAACTGCCCTCCTCAAAATCATTAACGACCTACTAAACGCCAAAGCCAAGGTACGACTACTCTGTCCTTCTCCTGGACCTCTCCGCAGCCTTCGACACAGTTGACCACCCCCTCCTCAATAAACTACTCTCCCTTGGCATCAGATACCGCTCTCTCTTGGTTCTCATCCTACCTATCCCGACGCTCCTTCAGCGTCACCTACAATGGTGCCACCTCCCCCTCCCTCCCCCTCTGTTGGGGTCCCCCAAGGCTCTGTCCTTGGACCCCTTCTCTTCTCCATCTACACCTCCTCCCTGGGCAAACTCATACACTCCCACGGCTTCAACTATCACCTCTACGCTGACGACACCCAAATCTACCTCTCCACCCCTCTCCTCACCCCCACTATCTCCGCCCGCATTACTCAGCTCCTAAACGACATCTCAGACTGGATGTCGCTACATTTCCTCAAGCTCAACCTCTCCAAAACCGAGCTCCTCGTCTTTCCCCCCGCCCACACCCCCCCCCCCCCCATCCATCATCACCAACAACTCCACTATCATTCCCACCCGCCAAAGTCCTTGGCATCATTCTTGACTCGAACCTCTCCTTCCAACCTCATGTCGAGTCACTTACAAACACATGCAGGCTCCACCTCCGCAACATTGCCAAGATACGTACCTTCCTCACCCCAGACACCACTAAACTTCTTGTACACTCCCTCATCATCTCACGCCTTGACTACTGCAATTCTCTACTCACCGGCCTACCCAAGTGCAGGCTCTCCCCACTCCAGACCATCCTGAACTCAGCGGCTAGACTCATCCACCTCACCACCCGCTCCACCTCTATCACCCCCCTCTGCCTCTCCCTCCACTGGCTCCCGATCGCCCAATGCATCAAATTTAAACTTAACCCTGACCTACAAAGCCTTTTACAACACTGCCCGACTACCTCACCAACCTGATCCCCAAGTACCGCCCCCTACTACCCTTCGCTCCTCACAGGACCTCCTATCCTGCTCCCTGGTCTCCTCCTCCCATGCACGACTGCAAGACTTCTCCAGTTCCTCCCCCATCCTGTGGAACTCACTGCCCCAATCCATCAGACTGTCGCCTTCCCTCCTCACATTCAGGCGCTCCCTCAAAGCCCATCTCTTCAGGGAAGCCTACCCCACCCTCACCTAACGGCCATTCTCCCTCTTTCCTCCCACCCCTCATTCCCCTCAGCCACTTCCTACTGTACCATTACCCCCTCCCTCCTAGATTGTAAGCTCGAAAGAGTAGGGCCCTCTTACCCCTCGTACGTTGTCCATTATTGTTGTACTGTGCCATGTATTGTCTGTCCCCCCCCCCCCCATTGTACAGCGCTGAGCAAACCCTTTGGCGCTATATAAACTCGATGTAATAATAATAATACTTAAAAATCTCATGAGCGATGCTTAAAAAAAGTTCTACAGGTTAGCAGTGTAAAGTTAGAGTTCTAGTGTGAGAATTATTGCTCTTGCTCTGATGTTCGTGGCCATACCTCACGTGTGTGGTTTGAACACCGTTTACATATGTGGACATGGCCCATGTATGCGTTCACCACTATGTGCGAGCACGGGGGCACTTTAAACTTTGTTTTAAAAAAAATTGGGTATTTTTGAACTGTTCCTTAAAAAAAAAAAAAAAAAAAAAAAAAAAAAATCACTTTTATATTTAATCACAAGGAATGCATGCATCCCTTGTGACAGAAATTAGTGACAGGTTCTCTTTATGAAGAGATATGGGGTCAATAAGACCCCACATCTCTCCTCTGCAATGTAAAGCATTGGATCAAAAAAAAAAAAAAAAAAAAAAAAAAAAAAAAAAAAAAGGCTGGAATGGGAAGGGACATCACTCCACTCCTCCAAAGGGCATAGAGAGTGGCGGCCATCTTTCCTTCACTCAACTCTATGCCTAGCGCCAGGAACGATGCTTTCTCAGGTAAGGCTGAGAACTACCGACCAGCAGCCGAAGGCGGAAGCAGGAGGGGCCAAGGTTTTTTCAGCACCTATAAAAATCGATGCTCTCATTTCGACCGACACGTTTCGGCCACCAAAATTTCGATGCATCCCTAGTTTATAAGTTGCTTGGGGGCTAGACAAGATCTGCAAGCTCGCCAACGTTTAAGGGGTTCTTTACATGTAGTTCTAAAATGCAACAGGACATGCCATAGAAAGGGGCCATAGAAAGCCAGCAAGTAACATGGGTCACAGAACCTCCGTTTAAAGTGATAAAAGGTTCGAGTTTTTTTTTTTTTTAATTTTTATCATTATAAAAAAAAAGTTCAGTTATTAAAAAAAACTCACATTTTCCATATCACACAATTTTAACCAAAAACCCTCAACTCCCCCCCGGCATCCAAATCCTCAATTAACCTCTAGCGTCTGTCTTCCACCTCCTAACCCACTTGGTGAAACTATCATATACTCCACTCCGATTATCCAATCTTATTTTGGGGATTTCCTGTCTCTGCCAGAATCTAGGTACCAATCCCTTAGCAGCATTTATTAAATGAAATATGTTCTTGTAATGTTTCACTGTAAAATCTAAGTTATGAAATATACAGGCCCAAGGGTTATTGGTATTTTAATTCCTGTTATCTCCTGAATTTGTATTATTTCTTGCTAAAGCTCCTGTATTTTAGGACATTTCCACCATATATGTGCCATAGTTCCTTCCCTCCCGCAACCCCTCCAACATAAAGGTGAACTGAGCTGGTTTATGTAGCAAAGTAGGTGTACGGTACTCACTAAGCATTTATAGTTCATTTCCACTACTCTCATATCTACAGCACCATGTGATAGTTTCAGTGTTTTCCTTTTCTCTTGTTCTTCCAGTTTCAATCAGAGCTCTTTTTCCCCACTTTCCCAAGAATGATGCAGAAACACATCCGGGAATGTTAAGGATTTTAGAGATACAGGAGGCTACATGTTTACATATTGATTCATTGCTAAATAAATGTTCCAATGGGTGCATGTTCTCCACCGCCCTTCGTGGCTGCGGGAGGGCTACCACAAAATGTCTCAATTGGTGATAACTCCATTCATCTAACTTGCAAAATAATCCTATATTATTTTTTTTTTAAATCTACAAAAGAACAATTCTTTTTCAGTGATACCTTTCAAACATGCATTTTTATCTTTTATCCATTTACCTACAATATTCTTTCCCTGGAGGAAATAAATCAGTTCCCTCCAGCGATATTAAACAGTGAATTATACTCCCACCCCATTTGCTTGTAAAATCTGTCCCACTCTAACATTCCATGCAAAAGTGCTCATATTTTCAAAACTTGTGGAATCCAAAATTATCTTATCCAATTTTGATCCACTTAGTGAATTTTTTATTTTTTACCTAAATTTTCCTTGTGTATTACAGTATTTTTCGCTCGATAAGACACACTTTTTTCCCCCAAAAAATTGTGTGGGGGGGAGAAAGGGTCTGTGCGTCTTATGGTGCAGCCGGCCCAGTATTCTTCCCGTCGCCACCATGTTAGAATAGCAGGCCAGCCGCTTGGCTCTGCTGTGCAGCAGAACCTGCTCCTCGGTCCAGCAGTGTCCTCATCACCTCAGCTTTATGGGGCACCTGGCTGTGACAGTTTGCGAAGCGCTGCACTATGTGACTGGCCCCATAGTCTTCTGGGACCTGTCACGTGTCCCAGAAGACTACAGGGAGAGAGGCAATCACAGCGGAAGCGGGTACCTGTCAACCACAGGAGCCAGAGATGCTAATATAGTGTGTAGTCTTTATTATTCATATTGGTTTACATGTATTAAAAACGTTCCACGTGAAGGGAAGAAAAAAAAAAAAAAAAAAAAAAAAATAGTATTAAGATGGCCGCTGCTCCAATCCTCGGCATAGGCGGCGTGACGTCAGCAATGCAGGCTCCACCCAAATAGTTTCATGCAACCACATCTTCAGGGGTAAGCCCAATGGATAATACTACACTATATTAGCATCTCTGGCTCCAGTGGTTTCGCCATCTTTCCCAGGACAAAAGGATACTTGTGCACATCGCTGGATCAGCCTCAGGCAAAGTACTGGAGTGACAAGCTGGGGGGATGGGGGTTACTGAAGGTTTAAAAAAATATATATATACACCCTTCAGACTTTACAACCAACTTTAATTTGGGCTGACCTTACAACAAAAATAAAAAAAAGTATACGCTATACTTGCCCTCTTTAACCATCTGTGTTATGACACGGGCCACTTCTAATAGAACAGATGACCCAACGACCGCTTTAGCAGCTCCAGTCCTCCAGGAATCTCTCTGAGCCCCAACTACAACATAACGATCTGTAGAAATCAGAAAAATACGTTTTTTTTACTGGTTTAAATAAAAAATTGCCTAAACAAAACAAAAAAACAAAAAAAAAAAAACAGAAGTTACCTGGATCTTCAAATCCTTTGATGACACCAAACACATTAAGAATTTTCTTTTCAGCCAAAACATTGTCCACTTCAAGTTTAACAGTATACTGGCCTTTAAGCTTGCAGCCAACATTCCAATCTCTTGGGCAATCCTTATTTTCCAGTTTTCTGGAGAGAGAGGGGGGCATAAAATGAAATATCACACACACAAAATTAGGAAAGCGAGTATTTTGACCAAATCAATTTTATGCATATTGTTCAACCCCAATCTGTATAAAAACGTGAATGCTTATTGGATTTAAGCATATCAGGTGATGGGTATTTGTGTAATGAGTGTGTGGCCTAAGTAGATCAACACTCTATATCAAAAAGGCGTGCATAATTATTAGGCATCTTTTCCACAGGCAAAATGGGCCAAGAGATTTAACGGACTTAAAGTCAAAAATTGTAAAAAAAGTCTTTCAGAGGGATGCAGCACTCTTGATATTGCTAAGATATTGAGACGAGATCACAGAACCAAACGTTTTTGCAAATAGTCAATAGGGTCACAAAAACATGTTAAGAAAAAAAAAAAAAAAAAAAAAAAAAAGCCAGTCCTCCAGTGCTGTCGTATTCCAGAACTGCAAACTACCTGGAGTGCCCAGAAAAAAACTGTACAAGGTGTTCAGTCCTCAAAAATGGCCAAGGTAAGGAAATTGCATATGGAGGAGCGACATTAGAACCCACCGCTGCCCCGATAAGCTATAAATAATTCTCCTTGAATAAAATAATTATCCTCCAAAAAAGAAAAAAAAAAAAAAAAAAATATATAGTCAAAGTTGTAATAGGAAGGAAAAATGCAAAGAATCATAACTTTTTGAAAAAAAATAAGAGTCTACAATCTTCAATCGCCAGTTCATGTGGGATTGGTGTACAGTCAGGTCCATAAATATTGGGACATCGACACAATTCTAACATTTTTGGCTCTATACACCACCACAATGGATTTGAAATGAACAAGATGTGCTTTAACTGCAGACTGTCAGCTTTAATTTGAGGGTATTTACATCCAAAGCAGGTGAACGGTGTAGGAATTACAACAGTTTGCATATGTGCCTGCCACTTGTTAAGGGACCAAAAGTAATGGGACAATTGGCTTCTCAGCTGTTCCATGGCCAGGTGTGTGTTATTCCCTCATTATCCCAATAAAAATGAGCAGATAAAGGTCCAGAGTTCATTTCAAGTGTGCTATTTGCATTTGGAATCTGTTGCTGTCAACTCTCAAGATGAGATCCAAAGAGCTGTCACCATCAGTGAAGGAAGCCATCATTAGGCTGAATAAACAAAACAAACCCATCAGAGAGATAGCAAAAACATTAGGCGTGGCCAAAACATTCTTAAAAAGAAGGAACGCAACGGTGAGCTCAGCAACACCAAAAGACCCGGAAGACCACGGAAAACTGTGGTGGATGACCAAATAATTCTTTCCCTGGTGAAGAGAACACCCTTCACAACAGTTGGCCAGATCAAGAACACTCTCCAGGAGGTAGGTGTATGTGTGTCAAAGTCAACAATCAAGAGAAGACTTCACCAGAGTGAATACAGAGGGTTCACCACAAGATGTAAACCATTGGTGAGCCTCAAAAACAGGAAGGCCAGATTAGAGTTTGCCAAACGACATCTAAAAAAGCCTTCACAGTTCTGGAACATCCTATGGACAGATGAGACCAAGATCAACTTGTACCAGAGTGATGGGAAGAGAAGAGTATGGAGAAGGAAAAGAACTGCTCATGATCCTAAGCATACCACCTCATCAGTGAAGCATGGTGGTGGTAGTGTCATGGCGTGGGCATGTATGGCTGCCAATGGAACTGGTTCTCTTGTATTTATTGATGTGACTGCTGAGAAAAGCAACAGGATGAATTCTGAAGTGTTTCAGGCAATATCTGCTCATATTCAGCCAAATGCTTCAGAACTCATTGGACGCCGCTTCACAGTGCAGATGGACAATGACCCAAAGCATACTGCAAAAGCAACCAAAGAGTTTTTTTTAAGGGAAAGTAGTGGAATGTTATGCAATGGCCAAGTCAATCACCTGACCTGAATCCGATTGAGCATGCATTTCACTTGCTGAAGACAAAAAACTGAAGGGAAAACGCCCCAAGAACAAGCAGGAACTGAAGACAGTTGCAGTAGAGGCCTGGCAGAGCATCACCAGGGATGAAACCCAGCATCTGGTGATGTCTATGCGTTCCAGAATTCAGGCTGTAATTGACTGCAAAGGATTTGCAACCAAGTATTACAAAGTGAAAGTTTCATTTATGATTATTCTGTCCCATTACTTTTGGTCCCTTAACAAGTGGGAGGCCCTGTTGTAATTCCTACACTGTTCACCTTATTTGGATGTAAATACCCTCAAATTAAAGCCGACAGTCTGCAGTTAAAGCATATTTTGTTCGTTTCATTTCAAATCCATTGTGGTGGTGTATAGAGCCAAAAATGTTAGAATTGTGTCGATGTCCCAATATTTATGGACCTGACTGTATATTGCTTCACTACATCCCAAGTGATCAATATAGAATCAGGGGGTAAACTAAGATAGTGGATTTTTATTTTAAAAAAAAAAAAAAAAATCTTGAGTTCTCGTATATAAGATCGAGTATTTAGAATCAAAAGGAGTCAAACATTTATTCAAATATTTGGCTAAAAGGAGTAGTAACTGACTGAGTACTAGATACAATTGGCCGTCCGAGGATTTAGAAGGACTTTTATGTATCTTAGGAAGGACATATATAATAGGTGTTACAGGATATTCTGAAATTAAATACGTTTTAGTATCATTATCAATAACAACTTGTCTATTTGCCTGAGTAACAATCTCGTTAATCCTATCTTGTACAAGGAATATAGGATTGCTGTCCAACCGATAAGTACGGATATTGGCCAAATGTCCAAGAATCTCTTGTTCGTATTTATTAGTAACCATAATGATGACAGAACCCCCTTTGTTGGCTGGTTTGATAGAAATCTCTCGCCCAGCTGACGAGGTAAGAACCGCCATATCCTCGAGACATTTCGTGGAAAAAGGTCATAACGGTTTCCTCAACTTAGATTTATGGCAATTGATGGAATTTCTAAGAACAAATGTGGATGTAACAGTACAACTTAGACAATGGGAGGTTCAATGGATCCATCATTTGGAGACATTAACCCCTAAAAGGGTTTAATTTGGATTTTGATCTGTATTTCTTTAAAAAAAAAAAAAATTGATGATGATTTAGTTTTTTTTATACTTTGCTTTTGCACACACACACACACACACACACACACACACACACACACACACAATCGCGCAAAAGTAAGTAACAGTCACATTTTTTGGAAATTTTTTATCATATCTTTTCATGTGACAACACTGAAGAAATGACACTTTGCTACAATGTAAAGTAGTGAGTGTACAGCTTGTATAACAGTGTAAATTTGCTGTCCCCTCAAAATAACTCAACACACAGCCATTAATGTCTAAACCACTGGCAACAAAAGTGAGTACACCCCTAAGTGAAAATGTCCAAATTGGGCCCAAAGTTTCAATATTTTGTGTGGCCACCATTATTTTCCAGCACTGCCTTAACCCTCTTGGGCATGGAGTTCACCAGGGCTTCACAGGTTGCCAATAGAGATTTCTTCCACTCCTCCATGACGACATCACGGAGCTGGTGGATGTTAGAGACCTTGCGCTCTTCCACCTTCCATTTGAGGATGCCTCACAGATGCTCAATAGGGTTTAGGTCTGGAGACATGCTTGGCCAGTCCATCACCTTTACCCCCAGCTTCTTTAGCAAGGCAGTGGCTGTCTTGGAGTGTTTGGGGACTTAATCATGTTGGAATATTGCCCTGTGGCCCAGTCTCCGAAAGGGAGGGGGATCATGCTCTGCTTCAACATGTCACAGTACATGTTGGCATTCATGGCTCCCTCAATGAACTGTAGCTCCCCAGTTGCAGCAGCACTCATGCAGCCCCAGACCATAACTCTCCCACCACCATGCTTTACTGCAGGCAAGACACTTGCCTGTGTACTCACCTGGTTGCTGCCACACACGCTTGACACCATCTAAACCAAATTTTTTTTTTCAGTCTCATCAAAACCACAGGACATGGTTCCAGTAATCCATGTCCTTAGTATGCTTGTCTTTAAAAATGATGCACAAGAAAGCCTGCAAACAGTTTGCTAAACAGGCTTCCTTCTGGAACGACAGCCATGCAGACCAAAATTGATACAGTGTGTGGCTGTATGGTCTGAGCACTGAGAGGCTTACCCCCCCACCCCTTCAACCTCTGCATCCGTAGTCCATAGAAATACATGGGTGTTCGTTTTTCATCCGTAAATGGACAGATGAGAAACGGACATACGGAACACCCATGTGAAGGGGGCTGTAATGAATTTTTAGGCAATTTAAAGCAAATATGCAGTGAGATGGAAATCGCTGCAGAGATGTTAAATTCCACTCAACACCTGGGACATGGTTTTGGGTGCCGGGCAAGACGTTTTTGTTCTACTTTTAGCCCTGCTGTGGGCTACTCCAGCGCTGGCAGAAGCTCACTTGTAGATGGAGAAGCCTGGCGGCACAAAAATCTCACTGTTTGGAACCGACTGCTGAGACAAAGTGGGGGCGGAGACGAGGGGGTGCTCCATCTTCCAAACATAAGAGATTTCTAAGATAAAAGGCGTCACTTTTCCCGTTCCCCGCCAATTCCTGTGCGTTTTCTGTCTGGCTCGTCTCCGGATCCCGGCCGCGGCACGCAAGATATTTATGAATGCACACATTGTGACTCGTAATTGTCGGATGGACTTCGGATGTTCATCTGTGTACATCCATGTTCACAGCCAATAACATCAGCTTTTTTGAATGGAAGAAAACCCTATTTTTCTTCCATGATGTGAACTAATGAAAACTTATGAACTGATCCATTTTTTCTGGGGGGGGGGGGGGGGGGGGGGGGGGGGGGACCCACACACCACACATTCAGAAAGTAATTGATAAATGATCATACCCAAGTAGATTCTTGCCATCCTGGCTAGAAAGTGACTGAACCGGAATTCCTGGCAGTCCAGAGGATCTTGATGGTGGGAACTGTGTATGGTTAAATGACGGGAAACCAGTGTGTAAGGGTCTCCAGTGCCAAAATGAGCCTTTGGGATAAGGAAAATCAAGGTGGTAAACTGCACTTTTACTCAACAGGTGTACCTGACCCAGCCAACAGGAGAGGGGAGAGAAAAAAAAAAAAAAAAACACAGCAATACAGGCACATTTTCCTCATGTTATATTTCTTTAAAATGCTGCATGCTAGCAAGAGCCTAGCTTTCTGTAGCAAGCTGACAAAATGGCTTCTGTAGCACAGACATCCTAAGCAGTGTCAACCCTGCCCAAGTTCTATCCCACCGGGCTACAGACCACTTTACCACCTACGTATCTACAGTAAGTAACAATGAGGTGGAAAATTGTAGTACAGCAAACTAGGCAAGGTGATGACATTTCAGTGCAACATTTCTGGCAGGAACAGCCGGTAGTTTTCTATACTCGCACTTAGTCTTTCTAAAAAATGTTGCATGTAATGCAGTGATGTACTGCATATTCTTTTGACCAGGCACTAAGTGACCCCTCTTGCAAATGTACTGTAGCCGTAAATAATGCAACAATGTCATCCTTAACACAGAAGAAATGGCGCTAGACCACTGACTAGAGAACACCTTGCATTTCAGATTTTTTGCTTGCCTTAACCACTTCATCAAGTCCGGACACTTTCACCCCCTTTCTGCCCAGGCCAAGTTTTCAGCTTTCAGTGCTATCACACTTTGAATGACAATTGCGTGGTCATGCAACACTGTACCCATATGAATTTTTTTTGCCTTTTTTTTGAGAAAGATAAAACTTTAATTTTTGGTGGTATTTCTTCACCACTGGGATTTTTATTTTTTGCTATATAAAATGAAAAAAAAAAAAAGTCCAAACATTTTGAAGAAAAGTGTTCTTATAAAATTTTGCAAATAATCTTTCATAAAAATGTATTCAGCTCTTTTTAGAGAAAAAAAAAAAAACCCCAAAACAAACAAAACAATAGTTTAAACACCAAAAAAATGTATTTTTTTATTTTAACTTTTTATATTTATTAAATTTTTAATATACTGTCACCCTAGCAATACAGTGTCACCATAGTAACACTGTACTACTTGTGGTGGGCGATTTTTTTTTTTTTTTTTTTACACAGATTTCTTTTACACCCATAAAAGGCTATAAAAGCAATCATTTCTCCTCTCTGGTTGCATTCTTGCAGCAATTGAGAAATACTGTGAGAGCTATGATTGGTCACAGCTTGTCACATGGTACAAGGCTGTTGTGAATAGCCTTGTACCATGTGAACTCTGATCATTCACAGATTTTACAAATAGTAAGCAATGTCGTCAGGAAGGGACATCTTGTTTACTAACTGTTCATGTGATCACTGATCACATTTTCGGGACCTTACACACAGAGGTCCCGTACAGCGATCAGGACACAGCGGGCACCGGATCTCAAGGAGCACGCACAGGCAGTAAATACGGGGGTCATTTATAGACGGCCACCCGCTTCGGCACTGCTCCCGTCCAGCCGTTTATGTACATGGGACGGACGAGAAGTGGTTAAGGAAAAAAAATCTTTAAAGAATTTTTTTGAAAGTTTGACGAGAACATGGTAAAAAGCAATTCCAGTGCAGTGGAGAAGGGTGACAAGCAGTGGAAGTTGTAGTGAGACAGGTAAATGGGAATTGTATAAAAAGGCAAGGCTATTTAAAAGCCCTTAAAAATCATCAGTGTACAGTTAACAATGATTGATGTCTTCACGTACTGCTCCCCACTCCAGTATGCAAGATGATACCAAATATGTTTAGCACAACGTACAAAAGGAACACCCTCATGCATTTACATTATGCGCATATACATGGGGGCTTTAAAAATTTATTTTATGGATTTGGTAAACTTATTTTTTTCCACTTAACATTATTGCTGTGAAATGGGGTCCAACAGTAAGAGGGTCTAAAAGCACCACGCCCCCCCCCCCCCCCCCCCCCCAATGTCACCTATGGGCCTTAACGATGCCAATGAAGCACAAGTAGAGTTTGATCACCTTCTTCCCTGGCAACTGAAGCTAGGAAATGAGTGCTAATATATGGCAGTTAGGAAAAGAACTGGATTGCAGCACAAGTGAAGTGAATCACTTCCACAAGAAAGCTGACAGCTGAAGTACTCAAAGTGTGAGTTTGGACACCCACGGTTGAAAAAGAAGTGTCAAAAGGCTTCAAATTCCTTTCTAGGTGAAAAAAAAAAAAAAAAAAAAAAAAAAAAAGTACATGAGGCAGCAGTAGATAGTCAAGATATGAAGAAACTGTTTGGACTGCAGGACAATGTAGATATATGAGAGTCAAACTATTGTTTAGTTAAAAAAAACAAACAAAAAAAAAAACCACACAGTCTCCTACAATACCTTTATGAAATGCTACAAAATGAGTTTACTGACAAATTTCTAAATAATCTCAACAAGAACTTACATGCCCAAAAGGCGACTCAATTTCTTGGTCAGCATTAGAAGGAAAGATGAAGTCAGAAGGGTCAGGATATATCAAAACACCAGCAGCTTGAGCAAGTTCAGCATTTCTAACCTGGGAAGAAAAAAAAAAAAAAAAAAAAAAAGTTACATCACAAGATTGACAAAGGCTACTTTCACAATGATCCGAATCAAGAGCGCAAAAAAAAAAAAAAAAAAAAAAAAAAAAAAAAAAAAAAAAAAAAAAAAAAAAAAAAAAAGCATATCTTGCTGCGTTTTTCATGGGTGCATGAAATGCACGGGTGCATTTTTTATGGGTTTAATCAATACCTTTTCAGCGAAGCCAATTTTTCCAGAGCGTAATAGAACCAATACTCCAGTCACATTAATGTTGTTAGCACGCAGAGTGTCAAAGTCTTGTGGACAACCATAATGACCGTATACAAGAGTACCCTTAAAAACAAACAAAAAAAAAAAAAACAGACACTGGTTTAAGTAACCCAAACGGGGAGGAAAAAAAAAAAAAAAAAATTAAAAAAATTAAACAAAAAAAAAAAAAAACAAATCCTACCTTTAACCACTTGCCTATCTGGCACTTTCACCCCCTTCCTGCCCAGGCCAATTTTCAGCTATCAGCACTGATGCACTTAGAATGACAATTGCGTGGTCACGCAACACTGTACCCATGAAATATTTCATAATTCAAGACAGAGCTTTCTTTTGGTAGTATTTAATCACCACTGGGTTTTTTTTTTTTTTTTTTTTAGCAAAAAATGAAGTAATTTTTCTCCTTCACTGATGTACGCTAATGAGGCTGCACTGACAGGCAGCTCAGATGGGCACCGATGATCAGTGTACATGTCCCCTCTGAAGAATGCCGCTTACTGGCTCTCCTCCCGAGCTGTCAGCGTGAGGAGAGGAATGCAGATAACTGGCATTTCCTTGTTTACATGCGATCAGCTGAGGTTTGACAAAGCTGATCACATGACAGAGTCAACGTCATCAGCTCTTTTCGCTGATCGGTGATCTGCTGTGTCCCATACAGCGCACCACTGATCGCTGCACGCTCCTGGGGCACGCATGCGCAGTTAGAGTGCAAGGACATCATATGACTTCCTCCCAAAACGAGAGAACCGCCGCCTGTCCATCATTTCCTTATATGGCGGGCAGGAGGCAGTTAAAGAGAAAAATCTTGCCAAAATTCAAACTTCTTCCCTGCACAAGGCACTTAATATTAAACTCTTGCAATGATCAAGATATTGCATCAGGCAGCCACACTGAAAAATTTTAATTTTGTTGAAGGGGAGCATCAGCCTGTTTGCACTCTATCCATTCCCTTGAGCAGCAATCACAGCAGCAAGGATCCCAGAGCTATAATTACTCTCAAACAAAGACACAATTTTATGCAAATAGAAACACAATAACAGCCTTAACAAAAAACGTAATGACTGGCATGATTTAAATAGCCTCCCACCACCATTATAGGGGAAAAAAAAAAAAAAAACACACACAACACCCCACACATGCGTTTTTAGGCATTTAGGAAATGGAGACTGGTGGTGCTTTTGTATAATGACTAGCAGATTTCTGTAGATGCAAGGAAATGCAGTCAGCTTCTGGTGGAAGGCCATAAGCAAGGGGTATTTGTGCACATGTGTAATCCACTGCCTCCAGTGACATAGAAGAAATAGTTGGGCAAGTTTAGTTCTGCTCCAACTTCAGCTGGTCCAGTAAGAATTTAAAGAACTAAATTGTTGGTGCCCAGAATAAGACTTCTATCTTCACTATGCAATAATACAATTATGTCAAGAATATAATAAAAGAGGTTTACCCACAGACACTGCTAAAAATCAAGCAGAAAGATCCACAACAATGCTTTAAAAAAACTCAATGGTAACCGTACATTTGTATCATTTTGTGGATGCAAGAGCAGCCACATTCCCCCAAACGCAGGGGCATTTTACAAGGTCTCAACTCTTGCAAATGGATGTCACGTGCATCACAGAAAGATTAAGTTATTAAGAGCATCAACTTACAGTAACAGAACCTGCAGGGCTGTACGCCACATATGAAGTTAACTCAAAGTCGGCCTTTAAACCGTCAGATGTAAAAAGCTGTACTTTGTTGGATCTGTTTAAAAACAGAAGAGACAGGACTTTCAGCTAGTTACCGACAAAAAGGTGACAAAAATTAGAATCTGCACAAAAATATAAAGGTTTTTGTTTATCAAAAACAAAATATAAATATACTTACCTTCCCCTATGCATCAATATTGACAGAGTAGTCCTGTTACCTCTGCTTTGGTGGTCCACTCTTCCTATTTCAAGTGCCCCCCATACTGTAGAAAGCCATGTTTACTATGGGGGCACCTGTGCTGACACGCTCCCAGACCAGGCTGTGTGTCCATAGACACAAACAGCATGACTTGGCCAAGGCCATTTTTGCATTGGTAAAAGGATGTAGAAGACAGCCCCGAAGACAGCCCCGAAGACAGCCCCGAAGACAGCCCCGAAGACAGCCCCGAAGACAGCCCCCCGAAGACAGCCCCGAAGACAGCCCCGAAGAAGAAGACAGCCCAGCCCCGAAGACAGCCCCGAAGACAGCCCCGAAGACAGCCCCGAAGACAGCCCCGAAGACAGCCCCGAAGACAAGCCCCGAAGACAGCCCCGAAGACAGCCCCGAAGACAGCCCCGAAGACAGCCCCGAAGACAGCCCCGAAGACAGCCCCGAAGACAGCCCCGAAGACAGCCCCGAAGACAGCCCCGAAGACAGCCCCGAAGACAGCCCCGAAGACAGCCCCGAAGACAGCCCCGAAGACACAGCCAGCCGAAGACAGCCCCGAAGACAGCCCCGAAGACAGCCCCGAAGACAGCCCCGAAGACAGCCCCGAAGACAGCCCCGAAGACAGCCCCGAAGAGAAGACAGCCCCGAAGACAGCCCCGAAGACAGCCCCGAAGACAGCCCCGAAGACAGCCCCGAAGACAGCCCCGAAGACAGCCCCGAAGACAGCCCCGAAGACAGCCCCGAAGACAGCCCCGAAGACAGCCCCGAAGACAGCCCCGAAGACAGCCCCGAAGACAGCCCCGAAGACAGCCCCGAAGACAGCCCCGAAGACAGCCCCGAAGACAGCCCCGAAGACAGCCCCGAAGACAGCCCCGAAGACAGCCCCCGTTTTTCTTTGAAAAAAAACATGACTGAACTGATGGGGAAAAAAAACCCACACTCCTCTAGAAACTCACCAGTTCTGGGGGTTTTTTCCAGCCAAAAAAAAAAAAAAAAAAAAAAAAACAAAACACTGATTAAAGCCTGTGTGAGCATGGACACAGGATAACATGCTAGGGCGTTTACTGACTGTAGAAAAAAGGAAAAAAAAAAGCTAAAAACATCAGCTGTAACATCCAGTGTGCATGAGAACTACAATTCTCACCTGATTTTTGATTAGATAATTAAACAGTCTTTGTAACACTGGTTTGATATTGTATAATTTCATTTGCCCAGAGAGGGCATTGTGCTACCTGCTGCTGAGGAGTGTATAATTTAATTTCCTGTCTGCCGATATCGAGGTGAAGTGTTTAGTGAGGGGGGGAGGATAAGTTGTGGAGCATTTACCTTAAAAGCAGAACTCCACCCAAAAAAAAAAAATATATATATAGATGCTCCGCTTTATGCCCTCCTCTGTTCTTGGCACTTTTTGTGCCTGCATGAAGGTATAAGCAAACAGCTGTCAGAAGTGTCTGCAGGAGCCCAACATTGCACTCACGATCTACGGATTGTGGGTGCTATGCTTTGCAGACTCCATGGTTAATAAATGCATGTTTTCACATTTAAAAATTATGTGCATTTATTTTACAAAAGGTGAACTTAGACTTTAAAAAACAGACATGACAGCACAGGGGCTACCATTACTATTCTCTTATTGCAATCACTTTTAAACCAGACTGTAGCTGAAAAACAGTAGAATTAATCATCCCCTATACTTGTTCCAGGACAGCGAATAAAAGCCTTGAAGCCAATGGATCAGCATGACAGTCAAGCAATTCAAGTCAAAATGAAATCCCACAACACATCTGAAAATCACAGTGACGCCAGACCTTCAAAATCCATTAGTGGATACTGCAACTTCAGCAATTTTGCACTGTAGAAAAGAAAAAAAAAAAAAAAAACACCCCCATCCACAAACCTAAATTAATGCAACTTTTGCATTCAACCACCTTTCTGCCTCAGAGGAAGCCTTTTTTTATTCAGAAGTCACAAGGCATCCTCTGAATGGCTGAGCAGCACTTAAATTTTGTTTCAGGAGTGGGATCCAAAAGAATCATTTAAAGATCACAAAAACATGAAAGTAAGCTTTAACTAGAAAAGGCATATATCTTATTAGGCATGATTCAATGGCACGGTTTCTATAAGATGTTTCAAAGAAAAAAAAATGCTCTGCAGTAACCCATAGCAACCAGATCAAAGACTGCAAACTTAATGCTCTGGAATGGCTTGCTGAATAAGCCTGCTAGTATTACATCTGAGAAAATTATGGCCCAGATATATAGAAGGGAGATACACGACCACTAAACACAAATCATACTCTGAAAACCCTGGAGCATTTTACATTTAATTGACATACTCTGGACGCAGATAGGTGTGAGACATCTTCCCATACAATTTGTAAACACAACCTACCTGCCTTTGTCCTGTAAGGTGACGAAATGCTCCTCACTCCATACTTTGTCCAAACCCATATTTGTAAATTCACGATCCATCACTGCAGCCAAAGATTCTTCATTGTCAGAGCCAGCATCACGAGTTGAACCATACAGATTGCTGTAAAATTTTGACACATGGCTTCAGATGAAAACAAGCAGCAAGTTTACCTGATAAAAGTAGAATTTCTGAACCCTGCCTTTACTTGGTTGTCGATTTTCAGCATTTAGGATGGTACTCTGACACTCCATAACACAAATCAGTGATGCTCTCATGAAGTAAGCCATAGCTATCCTAAAAAATGCAACACTGCAGTGTCTGCAGGTACCTGTGTTTGTCTTCACAAATCTCTGTAAAAACACACTGGATCCTAAGACCAGGTGGTTGTACAGGTTGCTTTGACTTCAAGCTAACAAAAACTACGCTTAAGCTCTGCCATGTCACTTACCTGTAAAAAATCTAATATTTTTTATTATTATACAGTATTTAAAGCGCCAATAGTTCGCTCAGCGCTGTACATTACAAAGGGGGACAGAACATGTGACAGAACAATACCAATACAATGCAAAACATGAGGGGATTGAGGGCCTTGCTCTTTCAAGCTTACAATCTAGGAGGGAGGGGATGGTGGCACAGGAGGAGATAGCTGTGGGGGATGGAGTGGTAGGAAGAGTGGAGGAGGTTGGCAGGTTAGCAGGGGGTGGGGTAGGCTTCCCTGAAGAGATGGGTTTTCAGGGTGCGCCGAGAGGAGAGTAGGTGATAATCTGATGGGTTGGGGCAGGGAGTTCCAGAGGATGGGTGACACCCTGGAGAAGTCCTGGAGGCGGGCATGGGAGGAGGAGACCAGGGAACTAGAGAGAAGGAGGTCTTGTGAGGAGCGGAGTGTGCGTGCTGGGCGGTACTTGAATATTAGGTCAGTGATGTAGTTCGGGGCAGTATGGTGGACAGCTTTGTACGTCAGCGTTAGGATTTTGAATTTGATCCGCTGCGCAATTGGAAGCCAGTGGAGGGATTGACAGAGAGGGGTGGCGGAGACGGAGCGGTTGGAAAGGTGAATGAGTCTGGCAGCCGTATTCAGGATGGACTGAAGCGGGGATAGCCAGCGGCGAGGCAAGCCAGTGAGGAGGGAGTTGCAGTAGTCGAGTCGTGATATGATGAGGGAGTGGATGAGCCGTTTAGTGGTTTCTGGGGTTAGGAACGTGCGGATTTTGGCGATGTTGCGGAGGTGGAGTCTGCACGAGTTTGTTAAAGATTGGACTTGGTGTCATTCTGGACTCCAACCTATCCTTTCAACCCCAAGTACTCTGGCCTGCAGGGCGGTTTGATGGTAGCGTTGTTGGATGTGATGGAGAAGTCAATGGGGGGTGGTAATATCAGAGCATCTCCTGTTTTAACAAGCACCACAGGGTACCTATACATCAACACTATTGTTACCTTACAAATATTTTAGGTTATGACAAGTTCATGTAAAAAAAAAAAACCAAACACACAAGTTCACCTTCAGGAACACAATGCACTGATATTTAGGGCATGGCATTGGTCTGGCTCCTGCCCCCTATCCCCCCAATCCACTTCCCCTGCAACTGCAGGCAGGAGATCCTCTCTTCCATACCCATTGTCACATTTAAAATTGGCATGCCTCCACCCACACAGCTGAATCATTTACAGGGATTTGTAATTTTTTGTACAAGATCCAACAAAAGCATAGCACTGGCGAGCAGTGGATAACCAGTGCAATGCTTTGCAGGCTCCTGTAGGAAAAAATAAATGCACTTTTTGGCAAGTTCAGATATCATAAACAGACTAGTCAACTTGGACTGTTGCATACCTAATGCTTGTTTTAAAGTTAAGGAGTTCAATTCTTTTATCCAACATCGGCCTCAAATCAGACCAGTACAAGACACTAGGGACATCATGTGAATAAAGATCCGCTGCATCCTCTTCCTTATTGGAACCATCTACTTCAGTTTGCTGTGTAGCTGAAACACGTCCTCTATGGCTTAAGTATCCAATCAGAAAACCTGCAAGGGGGAGAAAAAAAAAAAAAAAAAAAAAAAAAAAAAAAGTTACAAAGCTACAGAATGTACCAGTTTTATAAAAAGCAGAGGCAAACCCAAATCACTAACATATTATACAAACCTTAAAGTGGAACTATACTCACTTCAGCTCCAGCGAAGAGGCGTCTTCGAGCTCCCCTCCCGGCCTTTGACATCTTCAGGCGGACGGGGACGACCTCACTCCCGCACATGCATGGGAGTGCAGAATTTGCTACTGTATTTACACTGCGCATCTGCAGCTCACTGTACAATGGCAGACAGGCAAGTAACTAATGACAAGGCACGTCTCTTCTGCATTAAAATTCCTGCATGTTCACTCCTTTTAATTTTTTATCTAAATTTCCACTTTAAAAGTCTGGTTTTTGCTCTAATTATGTGGCGTTTATTAAAATAGCTGGCTATACTACCACCAAAAGGACCTTGCTCAGGCACTTCCTGCCACAGGATAACTACTATTACTAGATGTTGTGCTCTCATTCTCAGGCAGTCATATTTCCTCTTCACCCCTCCTGTCCCCACCCCGCAATCCTAGAGCAGCCATGCTGACAAGCACAGCACAAGTATGTGTAGTGGATTGTGGTAGACAGTTCACATTTTATTAGATGATCAGTAAAATGACAAATTTTATAGTCTTGCTACTTTCTGCTTCTTGATCTTTAAATTCCTTACTCTCTTAAGTAAACCATCAGATATAGGTTGACAGAACAATGATGATAATTAAGATGGCACCTTCATCCGGAGTCTCACTCTAGGTGACTCATTAAAAGAAAAGTATCTTTTAATGTAAACAACCCCCATAAAAGGGAATGAGTCTTTTTGGGGACAATGATTGGAAGTTATCAACACAGATAGAAGAACACGCAGAAACCCAGTGGACTTTTCACCCAATGTATATGCTTTGCCTGCATCATAAGCCCTATATAAATGATACTGTTAGTTTCTCAATAAAACAGAATTTTCGGAAGTTGGCAAACTGCAACAATGTCAGTGTCTTGCTTCCATGTGCACGTAATTCTATATTAATTTGGCTCACTGGTAGATCACAGTAAATGGTCTGTAGGTGACCTAGTCCAAACCATATGGACCACTGTTTGCATCAGAAGGCTGCTCAAGGATGTGGATGTGCAACCAATGCTGGAGTGAGTGCAGGTACACAAGAAAGTGGATGAAGTGGCCCCAGGATATTAGTCTAATGCAGTGGTTCTTAACCTGGGTTCGATCGAACCCCAGGGGTTCGGTGAGTCAGTCTCGGGGGTTCGGCGGAGGTGACCCACACCCGACTCATATGATTTGTGATGACATGCCCCGCTTGTCCATCATTGGCTGCAGGTGGTCACGCAACATCGCTTAGCCCAGTGGTCGGCAAGCCGCGGCTCTTGTGTGCCGGGCGCCCGCTCCCCTCCCTCCTCTCGGGCGGCAGGGAATCAAATGCAATGATTGGCCAGTCTCGCTGCCACTCACATCCTGATAGCCAGTGATTGGCTGTCAGGATGTGTGTAGGCGGGGCAGCGTGACGAACGAGAGAGGAGCTAGGCTCCTCTCACAGTCCGCCCTGAAGACCAGAACGGCGCGGGAATACAGCGAGAGGAACGCGCGGAGCAAAGGTAAGTGAATTGACACATGGGGGGATGAATTACTATATGGGGGGGATGAATTACTATATGGGGGGATGAATTACTATATGGGGGGATGAATTACTATATGGGGGGATGAATTTTCATACCGTTTGTTACAACATATCTTTGCGAGCAATCCTTTGAGGATGCTGGACATAAAGACGAAGAAAAGGAACAGACTTTGTTGCGAAAATGACATGAGAGTGGCACTTGCCAAGGTAATGCCGCGCATTTCTGAACTGGCCTCTGAAAGACAACAGCAGAAGTCACACTGATTTGCGGTAAATATTCATTATTTTGTTTTTGTGTGAAAATCATGTTTTAATGGTTTTGTTCTTTGTTCTTAATGGTTTTGTTCATTTTGTGCACCTATGTATAAATATATACCTATGTTTTGAATTTTAAAAATCATATTTTATTTTTCCAATTAAGAAGGGTTCGGTGAATGCGCATATGAAACTGGTGGGGTTCAGTACCTCCAAAAAGGTTAAGAACCACTGGTCTAATGGAACCAACCCCAGACTGTGGTTGGGTATTTGATTTGTTAGAATACCGCTTCCCCATCCGAACACAGCCGACCAAACAAGACTAGACACCAATCTTGAAGTAATCCAGAAAGTAGACTAGTTTATTTTAACAGATAAAAGATATACACTCAAAAGGGACAAATCCCCCCCCTCCCTGCATATCACCACAGGACAGGGCAATCTACATTTAGTAACAAGAGACACACAGGTATTCAAACTTCACACCAGCAGACAGTCCCATCAGGAGGGAGGGCTGCTGGAGACCACCCCCCCCCCCCCCCCCCAACTAAGCTAATACACAAACACATACATCCCATAATAATTTGCTCCCAAGCAAGACAAAACAATAGAATAATAATGGGATGCAGATACACAACACCAAACATTTCACAATCCCCACCCCACCTATCTCCTAGACATGTCTACACAATATGACAGATCACCCTGTACCCCTAACAGGCACAGGGTGACTTACACATAAGAGGGCTATGGGGAGCTGAGACAGGGGTCTCGCCAGCTCTCAAAAGTGAGCTGGGTTCCATGGGCCCCCCACCCAAAGTGACTCCAGTCACAGTCACCAAGGTGTGAAATTTTAAATGGGAAAGTTTAATACAGAGCTTCAGCAAACATGTCATCCAGATAGATTTTAGTACTACTAAAAAAAAAAAAAAAAAAAAAAAAAAGTTTTAGTATTTACCAATAAAGAACAACAGAATCACTGCCAGGACTTTGAGACACAAGCTTCGGCTTCCATTTTTGTCTTCTCTGTGTTTTATAACAGGTTCTCCCAATGTTGTGTCACCACACTCCTCATCATCTGCCAGTTTCATTTCCACTTGACTAGCATCTCCATCTGTCTGCGGCATCAGACTGAAGCGAGTATAGGTGAGAGGCACCCTGCCAAACTATGAAACATTTAATAGTTTAGAGAATTAAAAAGTTTGAAAAGAAAAAAAAAAAAAAAAAAAAAAAAAAAAAAAAAAAACACATTAGTCATTGCCCAAAACCAGAAATGCATAAATCAAAATATTTCTTTTCACGTTTAAAAAAAAGAAGGCTGTTGTATGCTAAACAGTCATCATAAAAGTGATGAAGTATAGTACACATTCAAATGTATTGTGGTTTTAGTGTAGTCTTTGTTCTGTCTCATTTGTTTGCCTTACCATGTAATGGGCTCACATGTTGTGGCTACAGTTTGTAGCTTCAAAGCTGATCTATTCCCCTATGTACCCATTCATCTAGCTTGTCCCCACTTGCTAAAGGAGTCAGGCAACAACTTGTTTCGGGCCACGCAGAGTCCAATCCATAGCCCACCAATTCCCCCAAATGTGGAAGAACGAATGCGATTAAAACTAGTGGTGCACCGAAAAAAATTCTGGTGCTGAAACCGATATAGAAAATTCAGAATTCATTTGCTGGATAACTGAACCCGAAATATCTGCGTATGTGGGGGTGGGGAGGCTCCATTTTTTTTCACACTTTCAAAATTATGATTTTATTGCTATCACATAGGGGACCAATAGTCCCCTATGTGATAGCATATAAGGGACAGTCCATCTCTGTAGGGGGGAGGGCAAGGTGTGCAAGGAGGGGGCAGGAGAGGAGCAGTGTATACAGCGAGGGAACAGTGTATACAGAGAGGCTCCCTCACTGGCCGTCACTATATGTCAGTGCAGGTTTTTAAATGCAATTGCCGACTTTTTTTTTCATCACTATAGCTCAGAGAGAGAAAAAAAAAAAAAAAAAAAAAAGCCGGTAATTACATTTAAAAACCAGCACTGACATATAGTGACAGCCAGTCACTGTATACACTGCTCCTCTCTTGCCTTTCTCCATCGCCCCTCACATCTGCCGTACATAGTCCCCTGTATCGGCACAATTTTTCCTATCGGCGAAATGTCAATAGGGACATTTTCGGCCGATATGTTTCGCTGGCTGACATTTCGGTGCATCCCTATTAAAACACACAACTTTCCCTTCACTGCTCTGCCTGCTTGTGTTGGTTTCAGATCCAATTACTACATAGCTTTCACCTGCAGAACACTGGACTGCGAGCGATTGTGGAATATGTAGTTTAATTACAGGAAGTAACAGTTGATAGACTTAAGCCAGATGTCATGCATTAACCTGTGCAGCACCATGCCACATACCTCATGTTTGAAAAACTTCTGACAGCAGAATGTGAAGATCTACTCTACTATAGGCTGTGTGTACAGGCCAACAAATGGCAAAAAAAAAAAAAAAACAAAAAAAACACTAATTTTTGGAGACCATGCCATTAAGTAATAACAGGTATTAAAACAAACATCTGTTTGAGAATGCATAAAAAACATGAAACATGTCACAAAAACTGACAACACAATAAGTGAAGCAACTGCGGATGACATTTCTTTGCAAAGACTTCCTGTTTGAAAGTGTAGTGCAACTGCTACTGCAGAATCAAAGTGCACAAGAGAAGTACAGCCAGCAAAGGAGTCCCCTTCAACAAGTCACCCTCAAAATAACAGAAGGATGAAGTTTAAGCAAGGATTGGTGCAATGAACTAACATGGCTTAAAATTTGACCATAAAAAAAAAAAAAAAAAAAAAAAAAAAAAACACAGGTATAGCCATATGCGAGATTTGTGCCTCCTTCCCTGGCATTTCTGACCACACATCTAAGATTGTGAAAGGGTTCTTCGGACCAATTAAATTTGAGACCTAAAAAACCAAAAAACATGTAAATCACGAAAAATGTGTAGAGGCCAAACATGTCTTATTGGCTCCAGGAGCTACGCCATTGGCTGCATGCATTAAGAAAATTGATCAAGGAATGTTCAACCACATGAAAGTTCTAATGTGGCTTTTTTGGAAAACACAAAAATTGGCCATATACAGACTTTGAAGGTTTGTTAGAGCTGACAAGGAAACAGGGGTTGCTATGAGAGGAGTATGCAATTGATGAGATGCAAGGAATTCATCTCAAATATTGCAACTGTAATCCAGAAGGAACTCATCTGTGAGCTAAAGGAAGCGAAAATGGTTAGTCCGATGTTAGATGGATCGACTGGCAAAAGGGGGAAAAGAAGAGTTAATATTGTATGTCAGATAAATCAAGAATAGGATCAAAGTAGTATTTCTATCCGTTCTACATCTTATAATGGCTACTGCAGAGGGGTACTTAGAAACCATCACTAATGACCTGAAGACACATGGTCTTTCAGACTGGCTTTCTTCAAGCCAGCTGATTGGAATTGATACAGATGGTGCTGCAAGTATGATTGGAACCGAAAATGGACTGGTACAGAAAGTAAGTCAAAATCTCAGCCATGTAATTGGCATTCACTGTGTTGCACACAGATTAAATTTAAGTGTATTAAACCTCTGTGAAAGAGGGAAAATACATTGATGACCTCAACTCTGTTTTAAAGAAGCTGTACCAATTTTACCAGCACTCACAGAAGAGAATGTGGCAGCTGAAGCAGGTAGCTGAAAGTTTATGAAAAAAAAAAAATCCAGAAATTTCAGTACTTGCATAATGTAAGATGAGTGTCAAGCAAAAGTCAGTGTCTCTCTACACTTGTCAGACTGGAAATGTGTGACAATCCACCTTGAAAGTGTTGCTGCAAAAAAAAAAAAAAAAAAAAAAAAAAAAAAAATGATAGTGCTTCTGCATTTGCACATGGTTTGTTGAAAAAATAAAAACGAAGATTTTAAAATTTGTTCATATGCTCCATTTTCTGCTTGACTACCTAGAAATTAAGAACCTCTCCCTTTTATTTCAAAGGGAAGAGCTTTTCTTAAGCACAATTGAGTTGCATGTGAAAAACACTATTTCTATGCTTCTTTAAAATCAAAGATGTGCCAAAACAGAATGAAGAGAGATTTCTAACTGGCACATCACTCAAAAGGTCCGTATCAAGATGTACAGTTGCATGGACTCATCAATACTACAACTTCCTTGATCCATCATGAAAATTACAATATGATTCAATATGGTGTGAAATATCTAGAAGACAGATTTCTCATTTAGAGGAATATTTATTGAACATTCCACAGCAGTGTTTGATAGCTTTGTCTGACCATCAGGAAAAGCACTACAAGACTATGGTGTGACTGACATTATAGCATTGGCTCAACATTTCCAGAAACGACTCGCTGCCTGAAATGCACGCATGCAATCCACACTGAGTGGTATGAATTTAAAGTCCTTGGAAAAGGAAAGAAACCAAGTGATCTTCTGGATTTGGCAGTTTCCAACAAAGACAGTTTTCCAACAAAGACAGATTTCCAACAAAGACAGATTTCCAGATTCGGGAAGCTTGTCGTCTATTGCGTCCGTGTTGCCTGTCTCAACCGCATGTTGTGAGAAAGCGTTCAGCTTAACTAGTTGCCGACCGCAGATAGCCGAATGACGGCTGCACTGCGGCCGCCAGTTCTGAGTGGGCGTCATATGACGTCCTCCCAGAACGCGCTCTCCTGCGCGCCCCAGGGGGCGCGCACCCGGCAATCTCCGTGATCGCTGTGTCCTACGGACACAGCTGATCACGTGATGTGGTAAAAGGCCAATCACAGCGGCCTTTTACCACCTGATCAGCGGTGTCCAATGACACGCTGATCAGAGGGAAATGCAAGTGCCGGTTCTCGGCTGCACTTTCCTCACGCTGTCAGATCGTGAGGAAAGTACTGCCGAGAACCGGCAGTTGTCAGAGCGGGGATCGGCACTGTTGATCAGTGCCCCGATGATCGGTGCCCAGCAGTGCCACCCGCAAGTTCCGCCCACCTGTACCCAGCAGTGCGCCCACTAGCTCCGCCCACCAGCGCCACCTCATCAACGCACATCAGTGAAGGAGAAAAAATACCTGTTTGAAAAATTTTATAATAGAAACAAAGAAACTTTTTTTTTTCAATTTTTTGCACTTTTTTTATTTATAGCGCAAAAAGTAAAGCGCCCAGTGACGAAAATACCACCAAAAGAAAGCTCTATTTGTGAGAAAAAAAATGATCAAAATTTCATATGGGTACAATGTTGCATGACCGCGCAATTGTCAAAGTGCGGCAGTGCTGAAAGCTGAAAATTGGCCTGGTAAATAAGGGGGTATAAGTGCCTGGTAGGTAAGTGGTTAATGAATTTTGTAAAAAAAAATAAGTTCAGATCATAAATGCAGCATGAAAGCTTAGGCGATTTGTTGAATGGACCATCAGTGAAGGATTTTGTACCTGCAAAGGCTGTTGACCAGAAGTACAAGGTATGTTCATGTCCACAAAAAAACCCTAGAGTGCAATCTGTTGCTCGCAGGTGCAATGCTTTAAAATTCTGCAATGTAAAAAAATTTTACTCGCAAAAAGATGCGTTTTTTTTTTTAAATATAAAGGTGAACGTATCCTTTAAAAGAAAGATGGCAAAGTGTGGTGCAATTGACAAACATTTTGAAATTGAGCAAACCAACATGGTGTGTAAACTCATCAAGGGACAGAGTGATACCGTACAATTTTTTATTTTTTTTTATCAAAAAACCTTTTATACCACCTAGGCCTTCAAACTGAAAATTTAGTGCAATAATTTCAAGGGTTGCAGTACTGAAGCAGATTTTGTGCATGCATTTGGTCCTTAATAGGGCTACAGTATCTCATAGAAGTACACCCCTCACATTTTTTATAAATAGATTAAAATAGATAAAAAAAAATTGTTGCTGTACATAAAGATGGCCTAGGATATAAGAAGATTGCCAAGACCCTGAAACTGAGCTGCAGCACAGTGGCCAAGGCCATACAGCGGTTTAACAGGACAGGTTCCACTCCTGTCAGTGCTCAGACCATACGCCGCACACTGCATCAAATTGGTCTGCATGGCTGTTGTCCCAGAAGGAAGCCTCTTCTGAAGAGGATACACAAGAAAGCCCGCAATCAGTTTTCTGAAGACAAGC